GCGAGAAGAGGGGGATATGCTTGACCGGGGAAAAGATCCTAGAAGACTTGGATTTCGCCGATGACTTGTGTTTAATGTGGCACAAACTCGAAGATCTACAGGCGAAAACTACCAAGTTGATAGAAGAGGCAGGGCAGCGAAGGGAGACGGGACTTCAAGTGAACGTAGAGAAGACAGAGGTGATGAAGATACCCAACCAACAACAACATCAACAAGAAGCTCCAATCACCAACTGGAGAAACTTAAAGGAAGTAGTCTCTTTCACCTATCTAGGCAGCATCGTTTCGACTACAGGCGGCACAGACGAGGACTTCAAAGCCAGCCAGAATCGGAAAAGCAAGACAGGCGTTCATTGGCCTGAAACTAGTGTGGAGATCTTCCACACTCAACATAAAGAACATTCCATGTCCCCATGTTTACTTTCGCTTTCATCGAGAGAAGACACATCGGTCAATTGGCTTCCCGAAGGCTTTCACCAACCGGCGTCATTTCGTCTTTCCGATTACAGGGAGGAATAGGTTTTTTTTATATTTTGTCTGTGCTTTGAAGTTTCTGTGGCGGTTGATTGGTTTTCCGGGTAGGGTTGCTAGCCCTATGCCCAACCTTCTCTCTTTACCCGGGCTTAGGGCCGGCTAGTAACTAGTGAACTAGTTAACCAGGCGAGGTTAGTTTGGTATTTAGTTGCAATAAAAACAGTAACAAACTTGTCTACGTCAACCTGTTGGGGACAACAGTTGCGATGACTAGTAAAACTCAATGTGAATTTACCACACCCTCAAGCCTGGTAAGAGTTTAGATAGGTGCTCCAGAAAAAGTATTAGTCATGAGTACACCTACACCACCGTTAGGCAATTGCGATGTAATCTATTCGTGTTCAGAGCTTGAGTGGCCAGCAAGGCTGGTTGCCAATGGTGCAGAGTCTCTTAATAAGTACACGCTAAAGAAACTATTAAGGTAGTGGGTAGAGAAGTTATTTAAAGCACTGTGCTAGGATCTTATTTGAAGGTTTGTGATAGAGCACATATTAATAGTGAGGCTTACAAGAGCCTCATACAAGTCTATCCGTTGTATTTGATTGTAGTCATCAAGCATACATGCATTTTTTTGTAAACAAAATCTTGTAGAATAAGGGTTAAGTCTGCTGATTGAAATTGTTTTCCGGGTTATAAGTTTCACGTTCTTTAGTGAAGACACTTACCTCCGAATCAACCTGTCCTGGATTTAATCTTCAATACACTAGCTTTGGCTTGAGCAACCAAATAGAATCATAAATCCTCACACAATACATGGCTCATAGCCTAGTGCATATATAGTTACTAGGTTGAGTTGCAGTTAGGAATTCTCCTGTAACTATGATATTCTTAGTGTATTATTTTCGCAAGTTCGTCGTTCACTAGGTTATTTCAACCTTGTTTTGATTTTCGTACCCCTGATTTTATATTCAAGCGATATACAGTTCATTTTCCTGCAAATACCTTGCTATGATCGAACACTACTGTCTTCCTACCATAAATAATCCTATTTGCCACGGCGACTCAATAAACGATGCTAACAGTATTCTTTTTTGAGCGGTAACATGCCACGATAACCTGTTGGAGGATAACAAGGTAACAAACAGCTACTATAAAATAGTGAATTATCTCGCTAAGCTAGAAGTTTCAATGTCAGAGGATATTGTTGGTTGCATTAAAATATGACTTTAGTAAGGCACTTCTATCGGATGGTGAAGATCTCGCAAACATATCGTTTTTTCTATTCCATGAAAGAAACGTAGTAAAATAACTAAACTTGCTGTGAGTGATCTTCATGCTATCACATGCTATCCATACAATCGCTCGAAAAGTGGTCCCCTAAAGCAACCTTCTGTTTCGATCTGGGTGTTGGGGCAGCATCATACCCTTTACATAAATTATATAGCAATATTTACAGGAAACCGAGTTCACTGTGTAAACTTTCAATCCAGTCATTCAGTTTGTTGTCTTTTTAACGTTTTTATTTGTACATATTAACTAAACTGCCTTTTCGCTACCATTTTCAAATTTATCTCTGTATGTATCTTTGTTTCACTCAGCTTCTTGTCACTGATTGAAATCCTGGTCTGCCTATACCGTTTTGCGTCGCTAAACAGTTGCTTGCTCCGAAACCATAAAGATGGTGAGGAAAACTGCTTACGGTTTTGAAGGACGACAAGCTAATAAACACCAAGTTTTTGAGGGCCAGTCGTGACTTTGACACCTGTCGGTCTATTGCTACAAACAGTGAGTACGAAAGTATGCGTATGTCGCCTAAGTGACAGATTATTTAGCATTTATTTAATGACCATGAGGCTTGGTTGTCAGAATGTGCTAGTGAGATGGAAGTAATAGCTGTATATCTGATAGTAGTCAGAAGTTGTTGCAGTTCATCCGAGCCGTCATCAGCAAGAAGGTTGATGTTAGCCGGACGGTCCATGTAATGTTTGTGAGAATCACACGGATATCAGTCTATCACCAGTAGCATATTACATACATTGGTTGCCATGATACTTTGCCACCTCTTGAAAATAAGTCAAAAGTTGATGTGCGAAGGGCGGATAGTGTTTTTTTTAGGTCGTGGATGCACTTGGAACCTTTTCTTTTTACATCAGAGGCTCGTACGAAAAAAGTAGATCACTCATAAGCCTTACACACTCTCATGCTGTAGGCACTGAGCTACATATATTGTGTAGAAGCTAAGAATACTACCTGGCTCCCAAGCCGCGGTAGATAAAGGAAGGTTCTAACGCAGGGTCCACTAGTTAAATATCTAGTATCTAGATCAGTAAACCACAGCTCACAAACATAATACAGGCCGAAGATCAGTATGCCTCTTGATATAAGGGTTACCTTACATTTTCTAGGTTGGGATGTATTTTGGAATCGTCTGTTGAAGGGCTATCACTGAGATGTTCGTTTAAACCTTGGAGACACCACATGAGAACACTTCATGTAGAGTGGTTACATACACCCACCTTCTATCAGTGTTATAAACCAACAGTGGGATTAGGCAGGGCTGTTTGACTTCATCATTCCTTTTTAGCTTTGCAATCAATGATGTTTTCTAGACAGCTTTGAAGTATGTGGTGGTGGTGTAAACCTGTTGCCAGGTGGAAGACTTTCAGATCCTGAGTATGCGGATGACACCATTTTTCTATGCAACAGCACACAGGCTACTCAAATCATACTCAATCAGTTAGTGGCTAGTGTCCCTAAGTGTGATAAGTGCTATCTGCCGTCGAAGTGCCAAGTGATTCAACAAGATTAGTAAGATGCTGTAACTGAACTTTCCCTTGGTAGTAAGCTGTTATAAGTTGTCTAAAAGTTTGTGCACCTCGGTAGTTGTACGAGTACTGATGAAGGTGTGAATAACGAGATTTCTGACTGTATGTCCCAAGCCATAGTGGCACGCACCGATATGGATCACCTTTGGTGCCGTCATGACGTTAACCTATCTGTAAAAGGTTGGGTATGCAACACCTTGGTGAGGTTAGTTCTGCTCTAAGCCTGTGAGACCTGAACTATGCGAGCTGAGGATATCTGTATGTTTCATCACAACTGCCTCTGTACGATTTCTCACATCTGGTGGAAACACCATGTAAGAAGTGCTAGGATGCGGTGGCGTCTGTTTAGGCATGATACCAATCGTCATTCATTGGGTGAGGCTATGCTGAAATACTGATTACAGTAGCTTGGTCATTTGATTCGAATATAGTCTCAGTAACTCCCATACTGTTCACTATTTGCCGGTCCTGGGACTGACTGGAAGATACCAACAGGTGGCCAGTATATGAAGTAGCGCTGTAGGATGAAGGACAGTTTTGTTGAGTTAGCATCTTTAGGTACTTGACCACCCCCAGGATAGGGCCCAAAGATCGCGTGATTAAGTAGATTCAGACAACAGACAGACTTGAAATGGTAAACAGAGATGCCGTAGCTTTTTTATTCTTCCGACGTCACGACGTAAAACGAAAGTAGCTAGCATTTTTTTTAGAATCCGTTCTTCGTTTTCTCTTACTATCACGTTTTTGTTGCCTTAATGTTGCTATTTAATTTGTATAGCACATACCTTAATGCCCATATTTTGTACGATCCTTATGTTTTAAATCAGTGAAATAGATAATGGATTGTTGTTTGCATAATAAGCATCCCATTATTGCGTGTAAATATTCACTGTAAAGGTATTCATTATAAGATTCCTTTACTGTCCATACCACTGTTTTTCGTATTGTCTTCAGCCCGATTCGTCTTTTAAATCATCCGTTGTTTTGAGGCAATTTCAGTTAATCTCACCACAGATTAAATGTTTCATCATGAATGAATTCGAATGTATAATTGTTGAGTGTAACTCCACTTCTTCTAGAAAGAGGAATACTATAAAGTTGAAATACATTAAGAATCAATCAAAAATCCAAAGCAACCATATGATTAAAAATACACCGAATGAGTTATCCAAAATAAAAAACTCCAATAGAAAGTAAAAATACAAAACTGCTTACTGTACGAGAGTTCATCTAATTAAGTAGTTGAAGTCACCAGTTTAAACAGTGGATGCCTTAATACATTATTTTCACCACCTGAGTAGACTGTAAGCCAGTGACCGATATAGTAACCACTATAATCAACTAAGAAGCAATCAGAAGTAAATGAAACCCTGGAGTTTTTATTCTTAGAATATCCGCTTTTAATACTTCCTTGTGAACTGTGAATAATTTTCAGAACATTTTTGTAATTTTCCGTTCCTACTCATATACCCAACAAGTGTCAACTTTCAGACAATACCTCTGTAAACAACCTAATAAACAGGCGAAAAATTACAAAGGAACTTCACTTTAATCATCAGATACAGGAATCACAGAAACGCAGCCAAAAAAAGATATTTGTACTTTATAGCTAGGTTTTGTAAAAGATACATCTTGTCATAAGGAAACACTTTACGATAGCACAAATGAACAAATTATGGACATGCAAAATAGAATCACTTACAGTCCACTTCGACGTGAAAAAAGGTTTGATCTTCCTGAATAGTACTTTGGTTTCGAACGTGAAAACGGTTTGACATGCCCACCACGATTACTACTCCGGAAACTAGATTTGGATTTGGCAATTACTTCATCTAAAATCATAGCAAAGTTATAGTGGTACACGATTGTCTATTATGATCGACAATATGAGTTTAAAAGATTGCAACTTCTGCCTGTTGACCGGGAAAAAACAAAGATTTATTTGCTTTTCATTGATAATTTTAATTTCCCGCTGTTATTCTGAACTGAATTGGTCGACTTCTGTCAGCACATGGGCTTCCATACGGATGCCTCGATATTCCCTGATTATTCGTTATTTTGTAGTTAGCGTGATGGTTGGCTAGCAATGGAATGCAGGACGCACTTTTCGTCCTATGAGAGAGTGGCCAGTTTCATGTACCTGCTCCTTTCCAAGGGTGATGTTTACCCCACAGAAATTCGAACCCACAGCTTCAGACGATAAATCGCTATGGACTAGGCCACTGGCATCCACTGAGCAAGTGGCGAAGGTCTTGTCCTAGTGACCTAGTTGATAACGCATTGGTGTTTGAAGTGGTAGGTGCTGGGTTGGAGTCTCAGTGGTAAATTACATCCGTCAATGAGGTGCAGAAACATGCAGCCGACAAGTCCCAAATAGTACGAGACACATATCCTGGATTCCACTGCTGGAAGCAAGAAAATTACAACTTAACAGATTTGTTTGCTTTGATTCATCCCCTCATTCGACCTTAAATTTCATACATACAGGAAGATTACTGAAGTATTAACTGGTGGTGGACAACAATAAAGTCAAAAAGGTAGACATTTCGTCTTTTCTGCAATTCTTCAGACACTTGTAAATAATATAAAAGTAGAAAACATTGAGGTATCTGTACAATAAAATGGATATGGCAATACAAATGAATCATCGATCCGGTTCAGGGACCAATGGTAGCGATGATGAGGCATGATGGTACTGTTTGAAGAATTAGCCTGTTATTCGTAAAGCCATTATTGTACACAGAGTTAGGTCAGAGTAAGACCTTCCGAGCACAGCCTACGCAACTATCTTCATGACTGTAGGAAAATCAGTATTGAAGTTTGTGCAAATGTAAGCATAGAGTTTCAACTTTGTTGTTATAACCTGTAACTTGCCGTCAGTAATTGATTTAGATCTGACTGGTAGGTCACTACTGAAATATAAGTTCTCCTGCAGGTACCTGGATATTCCCTGTAATTTCAGTTAGACGGTGATGATTGGTAATGGCTAGCAGTGAATTCCAGAATGTGCGCATTTATTTCCATTTGAGAAACTTAAGCTGTATGCATCTGCCTGACAGTGGAGGTCACTGTTCTGGTTGCGGTTCAGACCTATACCAAGTATGGAGGATTGTATCAGTGAATCTTAGAAACGATACTCATGTCATGAGTAATAACAAAAGACTGGTATTACAGATTCTCTGTCTCATTACTTATGATGTAATCAGAACACTTTTTTTAAAGCTTTGTTGGCTTAGCACCTAACCTAGTTTTATTTATCAATGCATTTGGACAAAGCTACTAAAATGATTGTATCGTCATTTTAATGTTGGCTTGACTTGACACTCAAGGAGAAAATTTGGATCCGGTATTCTAACTCACACGTAGAACTAGTCAGAAGCTATCGGATTCTGTTACCAATCTTTTTATATTTCTTCTTATTTCGCACTAGAACATTGGAAATTTCGTATTATGGGATTTAAAGTTCATTTTAATCATACTCCAATGTAGTTTGTCATTCTCTAGTTTGACCATATAGACAACTGTCAGCAGTGATTAGAAAAGAAAAACCCACTACAGATTCACCAGTTTTCGTATGGTACTAAGTTTTGGTCATTCTTGTCGAGAAAAACTACACTAATTACCTTATCAGGTAGAACACTTATTTGGTTCTCCAACCGATGTCAATAGGCGTGAACACCAACTCAAAACAGAAATATTTTGCGATTTTAGTCTGCTGAATTGCATTGCGTTCATTGTTCTCTAACTGCACATAAGTCTAAACTGAATTTCTTCGTTTTTAGTGGTTGGAGATGACGATCACGAAAATCAGTTAGAAGGGTATATTTATGAGACTTTGGAATTACATTCTACTTTATCATATTTTATTTCACTTGTTAAATATGTTCTTAGTTATTCAACTGTAATAGATGCATATAATCGAGGCGTTATTGGAGAAGTGGGACTTGAACCTTTCAGTGGAGCGTTATTCGACATTGACATACTACACAGCGATACATCATAAAGTTTTGGATAAACTCGTGGAAGTAAATACTGGAAACTCACATCTATTTCATACTTCTGAATTCCGTTTTTAGTCCTTCTTACTTACCAGTCAGAGTCCTCACTTCCCTTACCAGATGTTCCAAAAAAACTGCCTTGGTAGATGTGGGATGATATGACTTGAGATCAGTGTGTCTCTTGGAGTTTGGTGAATTCCTGTAAACGCCAACTTTTGTATGAGTTATCAGTGCACAATAAGCATTCTGCAACCATTCCGGTCAGTGAGAATAGCAGTGAATAACACTTTGGTAAAACTTAAGATGGTAGACACTACAAAAATAGGTAATTTAGAAGAAAAGCTCACCTATCGCTGTCCATCCATTGACCCATTATCACACTGTAGGGTGAGATAGGGTGACAATTCTAAAATCCAATATAACGTGGTGCAGGAATAGATTAATTCCAGAATCGTTGCTTATTCAATCACCACCTAACACGTGTAACAGGAAGGATTCATCACGTGTTGCAGATACCCGGAAAATTTTACTTCCATTAAGATAAACGAATGAAGAACTGTTGGACTATATGAAGGAAGTATGAAAGTCTCATTAGTACTTTTATATGAATGTGAGCAATAAATTCTACTCAAAACGTCGTCCAATAAATAACACTCACTGTGATGTAGGTGATATAAATGAAATTGTCTACTGACACAAATGTATGCAACAATTTAGTGCACAGAAATGAATTTTGTGCTTAAGTTAGACCAATGGCCAAGCTGTATGCAAGTAAATATCAAGAGAAATTCCGTTGTTTTATGTATAACACGACTTTCTATAGTAAATATGCCAACATACTTTCTGTTTCCTGTCACATTTTAGGTCAATAGTCTTTCAGAATACGCTCATGAATCTGACGTCGAGCATAGCTTATTTTTATGGCTTCACAGAAAAAAGCCAACTGAATATAAAGGTACCAAAGTTATCAACAATTTTCTTATCCTTTTTCGAATTGCTGAAATATTTACCTTCTAATGACAGTGATCTTTGTGATCGTCATAAAGAATATATTCCTCCAAAACCTTAAAAAGTGATCTTTAAGATCCCTCCTGGGGTTGCTATCTTGAAGTTTCAGGTTCGTGTGAAGGGTTTAAATGCCAACTTTCAGTATCTGTTGTTCAGTTCGTTTTCATCTAATGCTATAACTGATTAGTCTGATGGGTGGTTTACGCAATAATTAGAGCTAAACACGTTTCGAATTCTTTAACACAGTGAAGCAATGACATTTCGTTTTGCGACAACATACAGAGAAATTAGTATGAAACTTGATGCAGAAGTGTATCAGTTAAAACGGCCAAATTTGAAAACAGCACTCAAAGAAGAAGTGGTTATGAAAAGGAATGATAGTGAAACAGAGAAATAGTATGTGAATGGCAAATGGTTTATGCAGTTTGCACGCTGCTTGGTTCTTTTCAAATTCCTTTAGTTTAGAGTCGAAATGATCAGTTTATACAAATTATATAATGGCACCTTCCACTCATGGTAACTGCCTTTATCCTATATTTTAGGACATTCTTTTCATTGCCTAACATTTTTAGACTTTCCACTAGTTAGTTCAATTAATTGACCAATCACACTAATGTACCGGCTTTTGACAATAACAATTCTTAGATGCCTTCAGTAGTTTATCAAAATTAGGCACTGCAAGAAGTATGAAAAGAACACCAAACTATGTTGAATATGAACCAACAAAATTTCAAAATTTTAAAACAGCAAGAACAAAAATTGAAGCGGGATCTATTTTACTTTGGCGGTATTTTGTCAACTGCTTACAATCTACAATATATAAATAAATAGTTTTATTGAAAATTTAATGTAGTTTAAACTACTGGAAAGAAGCAGAATTTCAGTCACCAGTTTTGATGGTCAGGAATGGCCATATTGTAGTCGTGAATGGAATGGAAGTTAGTAAAGTGTAAAAACTGTCACAATTATGTACATGATTCAGTTGAAGTTTCTCTAGGGAAAAAAACAACAACAGGGGTAGCAAACAAAATATTGAGGGATTTAAAATCATAAGACTACTTGAGTGAATAGTTTGATTGAAAAGTTGCTCATCAAAAGACGCAAATTATTGTGAGTTAAGCTTGTTTATTTGACACTGGTCTATTTGAGGACATCCGATTTGATAAACAGTAACGTAAGTGACTAGCAGTCACGAGTCATAAGTATCATGAATAATGGAACTAGTCATGACAGAACATGAATAGCTAAAATAAGTATAACACATCTGAGTTTTACAACCGCGAAACAAGATAAAATGCTCCAAAAGTTAAACATGTTCAGGATATGGATGTGGGAAGTGAATGGAATCTCTGATAAATTATGACATTAAGAAAAATGGAAGTTAGTTTTTCAGGTAACCATCATTGTAAGAACATATGCCAGAAGTACTTTTAGCAAGCATAACTCAGACTCCTACATTTGTTTGCCTTGATATTCTATATGATGTCTGGATAACTAGTTTTCGATCGACATCCTGCACTAATTTATCACACAGTTGTTCTCCGTCTACGTCGTACACTGATGAAACTCAAATGCTTTACGTTAAGTTGTTCTCTAACTACATTTTATTCCATATGCTGACTGTCAAATAAAAAAGTGGAATGGTATTCAGTTGGATGAAATTTCTCACTTGTAGGAAATGCATTTGATTACAAAAGAGGTTAAACGTTGGTGGTTCGAATACTGACAAAACGAAGGTTTCTGTTTTACTGTTAGTCATCACATCACTATATAATGACCACACCTGCATCAGCAGTCACAAATATTTCTGACTGAGAGGCCTTAACAAAACAAATT